ACTTCTCTTCTCGCCAGCACCTCGCATATCTTTCAATCAGTGACAGATAGCAGCATTCGCCTCATGATTAATTACTTCACGGCGAGGATCTGAAAGTATGAGACACGGCAAGGAGATAGACAGCGTCAGTCAGAATAAATTCCTGACGAAGCATGACCATTGACGAAGGACATGTTAAAGCTTATGAAAACTTTAACATAGCGAAAAAGATACAAACACCGACAAAGAGCACATGTACGGACGAGCACAGAAAATCCTCACCAGCAGTCACGGCGGCATCGTGTTCAACACGATGTTCCGCTTGTTCGTCGCGAAATGGCGGACCTACGGCGGAATGAGTTGAAAAACTACCAAGGAAACTAAAACTCCTCCGTCGAAATGAGGCACTAACACAAATGAGTTCCAATGAGTCGTATTGTATTGCTGGCCCTGCTCGTTCCCTGCTCAGTTCTCCCTTCCAAGACGTGAGGTGAGGAGGAACTTGACAGTTGGGAAACTGGTTCCCCGTAAAAAACACCGGTTAAACAAGATGCTGCCCAAACACAACTGGCGTGCAATTACGGACAAATTACTGTTGTAAGAATATCCGAACTGACTTATGAATGTTGCTTTTGTTGACATTGGGCAGAAAATAACACGCGACAAGGCAGCATTTGCAGTTAGAGAATGGAATGTACGAGGAAAAACGGCAGCGAATCAGATTTTTCGGGCCATGCCAGGCTGGATGCTGTAAATTGCGGGGGGGATGTGTGAAAGTTTAAAAAGAAGAAGGAGGAGTGCACTAGCAAGAATGAGGATACAAATAGCAAACCCTAGAAGGGTTGTACTCGCTATAGAGCACCCCACTACAGGCTAGAGCATAATATTCTGACACACCCCCATAGCCAAAGTGGGGTGTAATCAGCAGAGCAAGCACAGCAGTACAAGCTCAGGGTGGATCACAATGTCACCACACATTCTGAGCACAAGTTCAAGAAGCAATAGTTTAAAGTTCACAATTATGAGCAAAGCTAGAGGCTATCGCAGAGGGCAAGTGAGGAGGAGGAGAGACTGTGGGGGAGAGAAGATGGGAGGCGACTGCTGACGCTGCAGACACACAGACGAGCTGCTGGCTCAGTGGCTACCGGAACAACGCTCCGGACTACTGGGGTAACTGGTTCCGCGGCTAAAAGTAGCGGCAGACGAGCAACGGACCCACGGGCGACTGGCGACTACCGGAGATTGTAGCCTCCGGACTGCTGCTGCTGCTGACGACAAGACTGCTGCCTCCACTCGACCTCCCCCAAACAGTACCACCCCTCCTGACACACACCCGCTGCTACACCGCTAGCTCCACTCCCCCTTCACCCCCCCTTAGCACCACTCCAACGGCTCCAACAAGTCCACCCCCCCTCAGCGGCAGCTGCAGCACAGGGAGACGGAGGAGGAGGAGGAGCAGGGAACGGCACACAGTAGTTTCACCCCCATACCCCTCACCCCCAAACCCTAATTCAGGAGAACGGGCTGTAGGAGGGGTGGGGCGCCAGCAGAAGCACGGGGGACAGCGGGGAGGGCAGGGGCAGCGAGGAAAGGGCCGCCCACGGGCCTGGCACAGCCTCCCGAACCGCGCGCAGGCTGCCCGAGCCGCGCGCGGGCCTGGCGCAGCCCGTACGGGCCGCGCGCAGGCCTGGCGCAGCCCGTACGGGCCGCGCGCGGGTCTGGCGCAGCCCGTACGGGCCGCGCGCGGGTCTGGCGCAGCCCGTACGGGCCGCGCGCAGGCCTGGCGCAGCCCGTACGGGCCGCGCGCCGGCTGTACGGGCCGCGCGCAGGCCACGACGGGCGACGGGGGGCGACGCGCGGGTCCCCGTCGCCCGTCGCAGCGCCTCCCGAGGGCGACGCGGCGAGTGACGGGGTAGAAGCCCGCCGCGCGCCTCGGGGCGCACAGCGGGCAGAGAACCGCCGCGCGCCACGGGGCGCACGGCGGGCAGAAAACCGCCACGCGCCTCGGGGCGCACGGCGGGAAGAAAAACTGCCGCACGCCACGGGGCGTGCGGCACAGAAGGTAGTAGTGGAAGTTGCAGCGGAAGCAACGAGGTGGTGAGCCCACCCACAGGATCGATCCAAGGGGATCGACCTGCTCTGATAGCATGTGAAAGTTTAAAAAGAAGAAGGAGGAGTGCACTAGCAAGAATGAGGATACAAATAGCAAACCCTAGAAGGGTTGTACTCGCTATAGAGCACCCCACTACAGGCTAGAGCATAATATTCTGACAGGATGAGGCGAAGCCAGGCTGGATGCTAGTACAGCGCACACCCTCACCCATCGGCTCGATGTGCGATTGCAGCGATTAGGTGCCACTCCGATGCACACACATCAGCACTCATCACTCGAGCATGAGTGGTGATTGGTCAAAAGCATGCTGTTCTTACCATCTTGTAAATCTTTGCTGACACAGCAAAGCAATTCAGGAATGAGTTCGACTTCTTGAGAAATCGTGATACTGCACGGTTAAGAGAGATGCCTAGAGGAAAATATAGTAACATGTGTGTGATGTAAATCAGTGTTTATCATAACAACCAATCATAAGCCAATAGTTTGTTGTCAATTCAAAAAATACCAAGACAATTATAAATTATATGAAATATTTATTAGGCAAAAAAATTAAGGCAACTAACAACGTGCAGGCTTGATTAATTAACTGTTTTACAGAACATACTATTTAATGTATATTATGTTAAGACCCACTTGGTCTTGGACATACGTGAAAAACATTTTGTCGGGTATGCCAAAATTTCGGAAACCCGACGAACCACGCTTCACCGAGCACTTGAATGCCTGTGTTTCTGGCTGTTTGCCCGAAAATATTTTGGTGACAACTCCAACCACGATTTCGGTAACTGCACGCGATCATAATCAACTCGGAGTCGGTGGGCAGTTAGAAAAAAACGCCGTTGGCAAATTGCGGGAACCCGATGTCGCCGAATTGTCTGCCAGAAATCTTTCGTCCAACACCGCCTAAGTTGCGATGTAGCTGTGTCTCGTCTAGTTCCAGCGTCTGGTCCGGTTGCTGCGTCTTGCTCGTGTCGGTCGCTTGCCCACCCCACCATTCTGTGGCACCACCGCCTTGGGCACCCTTCCATTCCTCGCCTGCGCACTATGTCTAGTCAGCGTCTTGTCTTACGCCGAGGGTCGGCTGCGCGCCACCCCTCACTCCTCCTCCCTTCGTCCGGCCACCGAGCCCTTTGAGACTCTCCACTACGTCTGGGGCCCCGCCTCGCCCTGGCCCTGAGCGAGAGAGTTTCTTGCTGGTGGTGGTTGACAACTACTCTTGCTACACCACAGTGTTCCCCCTGGCGAAGAAGTCTGAGGTGACTTCTACGCTGATCCGGTGGTTACTTACCACTGCGGACACTCATGGTCGTCGTGTCAGCTGTCTTCACTCCGATCGCGTGGGTGAGTTTCGCTCCAGCATTCTCGCTGGATTCTGTCGCGAGCAGGGCATCCGTCAGTCCTGGATGCTTCCAGAGTCCCCAAAGCAGAATGGGGTTGCAGAGCGCTGCATATGCTTGTTTATGGAAATTGCACGCACCTCCATGATCCACGCACGTGCGCCCCATTTTCTGTGGCCCTTCGCGGTTCGGTACGCCGCTCACCAGCTGAACCTCTGGCCACGTGTCTCTCGGCCAGAGGCTTCACCGACCAGTCTTTGGACTGGTTCCTACGGAGATAACTCTGTCAACGGGAGCTAGACTACGGGCTAGGCACGGGGTAGGAATGATCGTAGCGTTCGTTCGTTCCTTAGCCGTTTCCTTGTGCGCACACTATTTGCTAATTCATGGGGAGAATTGGCAAGAGTTCCACTAGGAAAACATGACAACAATAGTTCAGAATGATAGCAACAGCATTGGCAACACAGACTACATCAGAGCTAGCTAGGCTGCTGGTCGACTTCCAACGCAGCATGGTCGACCGCGATCCAGCGCACCAGAGCTCGCACCGCTCCAGCGTTGCAGAGTAGCGGCTCGCCAACGTTGCAAGCCCACGGTGTGCCAAACGCTGCAGCAATTCGGCTGCACAGCGTTGCATCCGCAGGACAACGGTGCACCTGCTTCGCAGGTGTGCATAGCTGGTTGGTGCGCCACTCCTAGTCACGTGCACAGCGCAGACGCCTGGCAAAGTCCACGCCAGCGACTGCGCCTACCAGCCACGTCGACCTCGGGATACCACCCTCGAGGTCGACCTCGAAGAGTCCACCCCCGACGACCTCCGCACACGTCGCCCAGGTATCCCGGTTGACTGGGCAACCCTGCCTGGTCGTCCAGCCCAGTCGGTCGCCGGCTACACCAAACCCGGCGTCCCAGGGTCGGCGTCCTAGCGTCCAGGTCGGAGTCCTATCACAGAATCCATTGATGTATTCAATTCATTCAGTTTCTCGCTAGTTGGGGTGTAGAAGGTGGTAGAACTATGTCATGTAATGTTACCAAAAGGGTTGTTGGGTTTCAGGGAAGTGACGGGAAGTTGGTAACAGTGGGAATTGCGAAGTACAGTGGGGAGATCTCAAGGGCCTCGAGGGACAGGGAATTTGCAGTGGCCAATCCAAAGTCAGGGCGACTCGAAGCAAACCCAGTTTGTCGAGGACACTCACGACTCGGGACAGGGCAATAAGTAGCCTAGGCTAGGACATACCAAGCTGTTCTCTTGTTTGTTCGCCTCATATAGTGGTCAAGTGTTACCGTTCTCAAGCTACTTAAGCGCCACTGTGGGCGGCCGGAGGCAGAATCTCTCACAAACAAGAGAACCAAAGCGGCAGCATGGACTGCCACGAGCTGCGCTGGCAGCGGACATTCTCGCGGCGGTAAATTCTCCGTCGCGAAGGATGCGCTCACAGGAGCAAGGACGATCGCTGGGTTGCTCGCCTAGGAGAGAGGCGGATCGGGCGAATCGGGAAGCAAGTGGTGACGGACGGCGCACTAGAGGCGAGCCCGATCTGCAGACGGGATCGGCGGCAAGGCCTCAGCCGTTAAGCAGCGATCCCTGGGATCTGGCAAGAGGCCAGCGGGGCGCGGGAGCAGGGCATCACAAGGATGCCGACGATCTGGACTCGCTGGGGTCGGCAACTGAGGCTGGCGGCGAGGAGACAACAGAAGATGTCCCGGGTGCGCGGGACGGAGGGAGAGAAGAAGATGAATATATGCGAAGCGATGGCAAAGAGGAACGCGAAGAGCGCGGAGGTGAAGCGACTCGCATGGCAGACGAGGTGTGAAGGAGTGGCGAGAGGCGCCAGGGGAACCTAGCGGATGCAGATCGCATGCCAGAGAAGATGCGCGACGGAGGTGCGAGACGCGGCGGAAGCGCTGCGGCAGATCGCGTGCCAGAGGAGATGCGCGACGGAGGTGCGAGGCGCGGCGGAAGCGCTGCGGCAGGTCGCGCGCCAGAGGAGATGCGCGACGGAGGTGCGAGGCGCGGCGGAAGCGCTGCGGCAGGTCGCGCGCCAGAGGAGATGCGCGACGGAGGTGCGAGGCGCGGCGGAAGCGCTGCGGCAGGTCGCGCGCCAGAGGAGATGCGCGACGGAGGTGCGAGGCGCGGCGGAAGCTCTGCGGCAGATCGCGCGCCAGAGGAGATGCAAGACGGAGGTGCGAGGCGCGGCGGAAGCGCTGCGGCAGATCGCGCGCCAGAGGAGATGCGCGACGGAGGTGCGAGGCGCGACGGAAGCGCTGCGGCAGATCGCGCGCCAGAGGAGATGCGCGACAGAGGTGCGAGGCGCGGTGGAAGCGCTGCGGCAGATCGCGCGCCAGAGGAGATGCGCGACAGAGGTGCGAGGCGCGGCGGAAGCGCTGCTGGAGATCGCTCGCCGGATGGAAGGCGGGAGGACGGCGGGAAAAACCATGCGCCAATGGGATTGGATAGCCCGCATGGGCCGCGAGAACGTGGGAGGAGACGTGTGGCGATGGACGTGCGGCGATCGCCAGAGAGACGGAGGGAGGAGGAGTATGAGCGAGGGAGACCAGCAGGTCGAAGGGGACCTGATGCGTGGGAGTGAGGGAGGCGTTGTCAGGAGAACTTGCCTGAGAAGAGAGAAGGGCGATGGGGGGAATCAGAAAGGCGGAGGGAGGCCTGTGAGGGTGAGCGAGGAAGGAGTCCACTGGGGCCGAAGAGGCCATGGCAATCAAGGGAAGCTAGAGCAGCCCGGGAGGGGATGGAGCGAGTGCTGTACGGGAGGAGCTCGGGGAGCAGGAGAGATGAGGAGCAGCGCGGAAGAAGGGATGGGTCATCGGAATGGGGGGCAACGAGTACCAGGGAGGAATATGAGTATGGGTTGGATCAGCGCCGATGGGGTAAGCCGGAGCGGCGCGAGAAGGAATCAATCCCTGAAGGAAGAGAGGGATACCGGGGAAGGCAAGAAGGGCAGAGGGAACCCGGAGTGGAGGTGAGGGGGAAGCAGGACGAGAGAGGGCAGAGAGGGAGAAGAGAGGAGCAGCGTAGGCGGCGGAGTTGACGCCTGAGCATGACACGGAAGGCGAGGAAGAAGGAGATTGTGACAGGCATGCACGCTACAAATTTGGCCGAAGGGAGAAGCGCTGGGAAGAATATTCCCCTGAAAAGGGAGAGAGACCAGGGCGGGGGTCAGAGGGACACAGGGAGACTCGTGAGAGAGAGCGGGGAACGAGCCCAAGTCAAAGCTGTCAAGGAAGGCCGCAGCAGTCATAAGTGGGCTCGGGAGGAGCCAGGGCAGCCAGGGAAGGAATCTATCGAATACTGTATGGGACAGAGTCAAGGAGCCGCGAGTGGGAGAGGAGAGGAGAGAGTAGCAAGAAGAATGAGATCTCACGGACTTGGGAGACGAGTAGGTGGAGTGTGCAGGCCCCACCTCAGGTGAAGGTGCCAGTGCGCTTTCCTGGGGGAACAGAATCCGGAACCAACATGAAGAATTACCTGATGCAGATCGCAAATGTGAAGTACCGCTGTGATCGAAGCGGGATGGACCCGATAGAGTTTTTCTTAAGCCTACCGAATACGTTTGGAGGCAAAGCTGAAACGCTGTACCGGATGAAGATGCCAGAGTAGCTGAGGCGGGCAGAGGAGGATGGGGATGATCACACGGCGCAGAAAATTAGAGAATTTCAGGAGTTCAGGCGAGGGAGGACCGAGTCACTGCTCACCTACTACGGGAGGTTGATGAATCTGGCGGAAGACGTGGTGTGTACCGATGACAGCATGCTTATAAGCAAGTTCCTGGGGGGACTTGATGAGGGACTTAGCGGTGGACTGAAGGTGAGAGTGTACGAGCTGGGAGCTGATGCGACGCTGGAAGAAGTGTTTGAACTCGCAGAGAAAGTGGAACTGGCGCAAAGGCGGTATGAAGTCTACCTACCGAGGGTGGCAGAGAGGAAGAGGGCGACGTGGGCAGTAGCAATGACACATGGAGACGAGGGCAGGGAAGAGCAGCGGCAAGAGGGGCGGCCGGATACCCGGACGTGTCACAGGTGCAGGCAGAAAGGGCACATCATGATAAACTGCAGAAACGGTGATGTGTGTGGGAAGCACGGGTAATGTCATGCAAACCAGAAGTGGCAGAAGCAGTGGGGAAGAACAAAGAGTTGGGGGCACGGGCGGGTGCACCAGCAGCAGCAGAAGCTGCAGGGAAGAACGGAGAGATGAGGGTCAGGGCAGGTACCCCCCAGCTCAACGCCCTTGCAGTGGCCCCCGTGCCCACTGCTGCAGGTCGGCTGCATCCCCCCGCACACCCGACCACGAGGTCGGCTCCACCCAAGCGAGGACGAGGCCAAACAGTACTCCCGTTGACAGGTCCCCTGATGCTGCGTCACGTTTTCGTGTCTGGGGCTTCTTGGCGCTCGTTCATGACACCTCCGCGGATAAGCTCTCCCCTCGCCCTTCCCTGTGTCTTCCTTGGTTTCCCCGAGGACTCCTCTGACTTCACCTTTTACCACCCTCCCCTGCACCGGTTCTTTGACTCCCGCGACGTTCGTTTTGTCAAGTCAGTCCCCTAAACCCTAAACCCTCAGGTACAGCCCCCCCCCCCCCCCCCCCCCCCCCCCCCCCTGGTCCAGCTCCTTCAGGTGTGTCGCACGCAGCTGGTGTCGATCGAGCTGTCCCTGGGGGTGTTATGACTGGGGGTGCGGGTGCACCCTCTAGGGGACCTGGAGAGTCTTGAACTAGCTACGTTGCTGCTGGTGGTGCTGGCTCTGGGGGTGGTGCGACTGGTGCTTTAGAGGGCGATCCTGAGGCGAGCGGTCCTGGGGCTACCACCACCCCAGGCACTACTCCTCCCCCCCACCCCTACCCGACCCGGCACCAGGCCCGTGTTCGCCGTGCATGTGAAGAGCAGCTGGAGTTGGAGCGGCAGCAGCTGGAGCTACAGCAGCTGAAGGAGCGGCAGCAGCAGCAGCAGCAGGCGCAGCAGCCGCAGCTGCAGGAACAGTTGGAGCAGCTGCAGCCGCAGCTCGAGGAGCCGCAGCCGCCGCAGCAGAAGCAGCAGCAGCAGCCGCCGCAGCAGCAGCCGCCGCAGCAGGAGCAGCAGGAGCAGCAGGAGTAGTCGCCGTAGCAGCAGCAACAGCCGCCACCTCCGCCTCCTGTCTCTGGACTTCCGACCCTCGGTCTCCCCTCTCCTTCTCCTCCCCCCTCCCCCTCTCCCCCTGTCTACGGTCCCACGTTTCCTCCTAGTGCTCCAGATAGAAGTGCATGCGCTTATCATATGCATGCGCCAATATCCGTTGTGACACGGTACTTGCCACTGTAGCTGTTTCTGCCAACTACTTTTGACGTTCAGTCTTCGTCCTCGTTCCTTGTTCGCTTTTGGACTTCGTTACCGTATGAATATTTATACAACAGTTCCGTATCATAACAATAAGAGCCGTTTTTAGAACAAACGAATGATATACGGGTATACATTTGAGATGTTCAATTGTTTTGACGAAGTTTTTTTGCGACCAATTTTCAATTGATAAAACAAGGAAACGTGTACGATAGAAAACATGGCCAATATAGATTGAAGAGTTGTATAAAATGGTTAAGTTGAAGTGTTATATAAGGAACACCAGTATTTCCACGAGTTTCTAACCCCACGATTCCACACAGACAAAATGCCGGGTCATGTTTTGCCAAGTCACAAAAACGACGTTTGTTCAGACCACGCACGTCCGTCCAGCTAAGAAGAGTAGATGACCTAACATGTAGGGCAGGCACAACTCCTTACGGCCAGCGCGCGACAGAGTTGGTCAATCGACGAACACGAGTCCAAGGTTCGAATAGAGTGTGTCAGTTCTGCGTGGTGACTCGGGAGCGGAGGAGGGAGTTTTGGGCCGGAGTCAGGCGGGCTCAACGGCAGCGATGGCGCGTGAGCGTAAGCGCGTGCAGCGCGCGGCGTTGGCACTGGCGTGGTGGCTCGTCGTCGTTGTCGCGCCCGTCGCGATGGTCAACGCCGTTCCGCTCGATGCCACGCAAGGCGAGTCGCTCGCAATACGAGTGCCGCTCATCCCAGTTAGTAACGCCTCAGCTGGGTCCCAAAGTAGGGGAGTGGTAGTTCCCCACCTGCATTGGGAATGACGCTCTGCCATTGGCATATGCTTTTAGAATGTCATGCGAGAGGAGCGCGCGTGGAGGGCATCATCATCCGAAAATTGACGGGTTCGAAAAGTGCCTTTTTGAGGACCGAAAACTTACTCGGGAAAAAGTAACTCGCAACATTCTGGTGAAGTGCCTTTTTGACGCGAGTGACTCCAGGTCGCAGGCTGCGATTTCCCCAAACTGTTGGGAACCAATCGAAGTAACTCGGGTGGAGGTTCGGCAAAAGCTGTGATTGGTTCGAGTTGGGAGCCAGGTGGTCGAGATTCTGCGTCAAAATTTCCCGCATAGGATTTGCCCGAATAGCACTGATGCGCGTGTGCACTTGTCATTGGTTGGATAAATCTGACACGCGCGACTGTTATATATAATCTTGATTGAATGCACGAGGTGTTCTTTTTTTTCGGATGCCGATACAGATTGCTCAGTGTTTGTGACCATACAGAACATAGGCTTACTTTTGATAAATGCACGTGGAGAAGTGTACAGAGCTGTTCGACCACAGTGAAATAGTAAACAATGTATTCTGCATTTGTTAGACTTTTTATATAAAATGGATTCCAGTAATTCATTGGCATGCAATATCAATTAATACATATCATTTGTGGATCGTAGTGAGAAGATTTGAACAAGAATGAATGAACTATGAATGAAGTGAGTACATATAGGAAACCATAATTGGGTTGTACCCCCTATGGGATACCCCACTATAGCCTACACAACTGCATAAGCTATATATATGTTCTGACACACCCCCATAGGCAAAGTGGGGGAGAACAAGGGGTCACAAGACCAGTCACGCAAAGCACAGCAAGCTCAGGGTGGATCACAAAGTCACCACACAGTCCGAGCACAACGACAAGGCCACAAGGCCAGTTCACATGCAGGAGTGCACATATATATATAGAGCTAGACAAGCAAGAGCAGGTATATATATGTGACAGTACAAGCAAGGTCAAGAGGAGAGCAAGTGAGGCAAGACAGGTACAAGACCCAGCTGAGTGCAGAAGCGCTGATGGTCACAAGGCGCAAGTGCCTTGGTGAACACATCAGCAGTGTTGGCCTCAGAGGCCACGTACGCAAGTCGCAACTGACCACGCTGCTGCAGCTCACGAGCAAGAAAGTAACGAAGAGCAATGTGCTTCGTTCTGTGCTCCAAGCGCTGCTCTCGACACAAGGCCAGCATGGCCTTGTTATCTACGTACAGCACTGGAGGAGAACGAGGCGGCTCTCCAAGGTCAGTCAGCAGGTAGGTGAGCCAGCGAAGCTCCTGTGCAGCCATGGCCCCGGCGTAGATCTCAGCCTCACAACTGGAGCCGAGAACAGAGGACGAGCGAGTAGCCCGCCACGAGACAGAGCCGGAACCAAGACTGAAGGTGTAACCCTGCGACGACCGCTGCGTAGCCTGGTCGTCAGCCCAAGAAGCGTCCGCGTGCCCAGTGAGGACCACTGGACTCCGCCCTCCAAGCACTAGCCCCATGCCCGACGTACTGCACAAGTAGCGCAACACCCTCTTCGCTGCAGCCATGTGCTCTGGTCGGTGTCTCCCAGGAGCAACATAGCGTGCAAGAATGCTAAG